GCGTACTGAAGATGAATCCTGTGCGCGCCTGGAAACCATCAGAACCATCATTCTAGAGGCATCACCGGAGTTCATTCAAGCTGATCAAGAGCTGCTTCTGCAAGGCAAGGATTACAAGCAAAAGATTCCTCAACTCCTGGCATCAAAGATCGAATTGAAAAGAAGACATCAAAGGGGAGATTGCAAGGATTTCTTCATAAAACCTTCTCAAGAAGTCAAGTTCAAAGACAAAGGAAGCTGAATAACAACAAAGACAAAGATATATGCGCTGCAATGCTGATTGAACACGATTGAACACCAAGGGGGAGATTGTTGGGAATATTTTATGGTGTCCAATCTAATTAAATATCTTTGTATTTGTGTAGTTCTTAATTAAATGTGTAATATGGGCTACAAATGTATTTCAGCCCATTAGCCCACTTGTAAGCCTTAAGTTAGACATCCTTATGTATAAAAGGATGCTAACTTAAGCAAACCCTAAGTCTCACAAGCCTCACGCACATTAACGCTCATATCTTTCTGAGAGCTTATACGGTATAAGGAAGAGGGAGTTCATCGATTCAAATATATTTCTATCATTCTGTGATTCTCTTCTTCTTTTATATTGTATGATTGTTGATTGATATTGGGACAAACAGTTTATAAACTTAAGAGACATTAATTTTGTTGGTTAAACCGAAACCGTTGTGTTGAGGTTATCAATTTCAATTGATTTCATCAAGGAGTTAAGAGATTAAATGCTACTATCAAGTCGGTATATGGCGGTGTTCTATACTTGACTAATAGTAAGGGTTAGTAATGAACGATCGTTGTTAATAACTACCCTCGATGAATTGGATATACTCCTCGATTGAGTATTTGAGATGGAATAAGTTATAGATATAACAATGATCGACTAAAATACATCAACAAGTGGAAAGTAGCAATGCCAAGTTCTTTTATGTTTGAATTAAAACGCATATAGGTTGTTCATCTTAGTTTTTAAATTAAATCATTCAATCCCAAAATCCCCCTTTTATTTACTAGTTTCATAAAAAGAGAATGATTCCTTTCCCTGTGGATACGAACTCTACTTCACCTATACTACGTATTAGTGTTAGTATTGAATTTATTTTGACGCACCGTGACAAAGTGCACGTCAAATTTGGTGCCGTTGATGGGGAAAGGCAATTAAGTTTTCTTTTTATTTTATTTTAAGAAAAATCAATATATATATATATATATATATATGATTGAGTATATGGTAAAAACCCGATCCATAAACCAACTCACCTACCGAACAAACCCTGAAATAGAACTAGCTCTCGAGCGGTTGAAAAACAAATTCTCAAATACCGACTCGGGAGAATCCTCAAGTGCTAGTTATCATTCTAGAGAGTCCGAAGAGCCAATAACTATGGCTCTTGAAACAAGAACACTGATGGAGCTCACAGCTCCCAATCTAAACCAACAACCCTTATGTATCACCTTCCCAACTCTTGATGCGGGTGCTACATTTGAGTTGAAATCTGGACTCATACATCTACTTCCATCTTTCCACATGCTAAGAGGAGAGGATCCGAATAAACATCTTTCGGAATTCACATCGTTTTCACAAGCATGTGCCCGAACGGTGTCACCGAGGAGCAAATTAAGTTGAGGGCCTTTCCATTCTCCCTTAAAGACACCGCCAAAGATTGGTTATTATATCTTCCCTCGGGAAGCATAAACACTTGGGCAACCATGAAGAAGTGCTTCCTCGAAAGGTATTATCCTGCCTCAGTCTCCTCATATCTAAAGAAACAAATCAGCAATGTGGAGCAAAAAGATGATGAATCGTTCTACGAATTCTGGGAACGATTCAAGAAACTTAGTGCAAGCTGCCCGTATCACGGCTATTCGGAGCAAGACCTCATCCTTTACTTTTATGATGGTCTTTGCGATGATGATAGACGCATGATTAATGCCGCATGTGGAGGAGGAATAGTCAACAAAACTCCTTCTCAAGCTAGAAATCTTATCACGGAGTTGGCCGAAAATCGTAGACACTATGATCGGCGGTCAACAAAGAGAGTCATGGCGGCGGAATCCAACAACTCGTTGGAAAGTCAAGTGGCCGGCTTGAAATCTTTGGTTAAAGATTTCCTCTTAAATCCAAAAACCCAAGAAGTTAAGGTCTGCGGCATATGCTGGACACAAGGGCATCCCACCGATTCTTGCCCAACGCTACAAGAGGAAAACTCCGAGCAAGTCAATGCTTTGGGATTTCAAGGTCAAAGGAGGTACGATCCTCACGGAAACACTTACAATTCAGGATGGAGGGATCACCCAAATCTAAGGTATGGAAAATCTCAACCTCCTCAACAATCAAAACCCTCCTCCTCAACAATATAAACATCAAGGCCAAACATCGAACTCGAACATGTCCACCAAAGACATGATTCGAGCACTAACCATGAACATGGCTACGATGCAACAAAGTGTGGCCCAATTTCAAGAAACAACAAAATCTAGCATCCACAACTTGGAAAGCCAAATGAGCCAAATCTCAAATGTCGTGAGTAGGCTTGAAGCTAAGGATTCGGCAAAACTCCCATCTCAAATGGAGCCGAATCCAAAGCAACAAGCTCATGCGGTCACTTTGAGAAGTGGCAAAGAATTGGTTATGGCTAAGGCAAAAGCAAAGAGCCATGTTGGGGAAGAAGAGGAGGAGATCTTGGTACCAAGCACAAATCCTCAAAAAGAAGAGGAAAAAGAGGAGGAGATCACTCCTCAAAGAAAGTTCCCACCACTCGATTCATACGAGCCGGTGCCACCTTTTCCGGAGGCTCTCAAGGACAACCGCAAATACAACAATGACAAGGACATCTATGAGACCTTCTCGAAATGCGAGGTAAATATCCCTCTTCTTAATTTAATAAAAGGTATTCCTAGGTTTGCAAAATTTTTAAAAGAGCTTTGCACAATTAAAAGGAAACACAAATTAAATAGAAAGCATAAAATCCAAGTGAGTGAAAGAGTGTCGGCCGTTTTCCAAAAGAAACTGCCCAAAAAGTATAGTGACCCGGGAATGTTCACTATACCATGTAAACTTGGAAATTTTAGTTCTTCTAGGGCTATGTTAGATTTGGGTGCATCAATCAATGTCATTCCATATTCTCTATATAAGTCCCTAGAACTAGGACCTTTACATGAAACGGGAGTTGTTATCCAACTTTCCGATAGATCCAATGCTTACCCAAAAGTAGAGGATGTACTCGTCATGGTAGATAACTTAATCTTTCCCGCTGATTTTTTCGTTCTTGAAATGGAGAACGATAAAAATGCAGTCCCAATTTTATTATGCAGGCCCTTTTTGAAAACGGCCAAGGCAAAAATTGATGTTTTTAGTGGAGTATTAACCATGGAGTTCGATGGTGAAAAAGTCGAATTTAATATCTACGACTCCATGAAATACCCCACCGATAATCACTCTCTTTTTGCGATTGACACTTGCTACACTTGGGTCCAAGATGTATTTGAAGTAGAGGGGAAAGATGAAGCACTAACCTCAATTGAAAACGACATAGAGGATTTCACTTTGGAATACTTAATGTCAAATAGCATGAAAGTTATGGTGGCTGAGTTAAATCAACTCCCACTTTTGCCATCGGGCTCTAAGGCCCTCCCACTAACCATTCCGAGAGAGAAGCCGCTACCATCTGTTTTGCAGGCACCGGAGGTGGAATTAAAACCACTCCCTGAAAATATGAAGCATGTGTTCTTGGGTGAAAATCACACTCTACCAATGGTTATCTCAAATACCCTAACCCAAGAACAAGAGGAGAGATTAATTGCGATCCTCAAAGAATACAAATTGGCCATTGGATGGTCTATTGCCGACATCAAACGCATTAGCCCATCCACATGCATGCACCGGATCTTGCTTGAGGATGAGGCCAAGGCGGTGAGGCAACCGCAACGAAGGTTGAATCCACCCATGATGGAGGTGGTGAAAAAGGAAGTGATCAAATTGCTACAAATGGGAATCATCTTCCCCATTTCCGATAGCAAGTGGGTGAGTCCTACTCAAGTGGTGCCAAAGAAGACCGGAGTGACAGTCATTGAAAAAAAAGAAGGCGAGATGGTGCCCACCCGAGTTCAAAACGGGTGGCGCGTTTGCATTGACTACCGAAGACTCAATTCAGTAACAAGAAAGGATTTCTTTCGTTTGCCCTTCATTGATCAAATGCTAGAGAGGCTAGCCGGTCACAAGTTCTATTGTTTTCTCGATGGTTACTCCGGGTATTTCCAAATTTCAATAGCCCCGGAGGACCAAGAGAAAACAACCTTCACATGCCCATTTGGCACTTTTGCCTATCGAAGAATGTTGTTTGGATTATGCAACATACCGGGCACCTTTCAAAGGTGCATGATGAGCATCTTTTCAGAATTTGTGGAGGTATTCATGGAAGTCTTTATGGATGATTTCACAATCCATGGGGACTCCTTTGACACTTGCCTCTATCATTTCACTCTTGTGCTAAAAAGTTGCATTGAATCCAACCTTGTTCTAAATTCTGAAAAATGCCACTTTATGGTGGAACAAGGGATTGTTCTTGGGCATGTGATCTCATCAAAGGGGATTGAAGTAGACAAAGCAAAGATTGATGTAATTCAAACACTTCCATACCCCACAAATGTACGAGATATCCGCTCTTTTCTTGGTCACGCCAGATTCTATAGACGATTCATCAAAGACTTCTCCAAAATTTCATCTTCTCTATGCAAACTTTTGCGAAAGGAGGTGGAATTTGATCTAAATGATGAATGCAAAGAAGCTTTCGATACTTTGAAAGCAAGATTGGTGACTGCCCCAATCATACAAGCTCCCGATTGGTCTCTTCCTTTTGAGATCATGTGCGACGCAAGTGACTATACTGTAGACAAGTCGGCGGACATCTTCATATGTTATATCATCGATCAACAGGCTTACAACGACAGATTCTAGAACATGATCTGAAAACGAGCAAATGCCCTATTTGGGATATTATGAATGTGTCCAGAGGAGATCATCATGGAATAAAGTATTCGATTTATCGATTACAAAGAACTGATGGCACAGAGTTCACCTGTCAGGAGAAAAATGGTCTATAGTGACACTAAATTAGTGTCACTAAAAGTTTCAGTGACACCACGAAAGTGTCAACGAATGGTTGGAACTCTGACACTAAAAAATGTGTCACTAAAAAGTGTCAGTATGAAAATTAAAAGACAAGTTAACTTGTTCTTGGAAACAAAGCAAAATCCAAAATAGCAATATTCTTGAATTCTAGTCTAACTACATAGGGATGCAAACATAAAGTAGTCATTACATAGGTCCTGGAAACACATAAAGTACATCACAAACATCCAAATGTTATGTCCTTCCAGCCATTTGTTTAACCACCATAATGCATACGAGCTTAGCAAAAATCTAGCTAGCACTGTTCATCACATTCGTCACTGAAGTCTGTAAAAATAATAATCATAACTATTTCAATCATCATACTACAGACAATCCTAATTAGTGAAAACTACATTCTTAACACACTTATCTCAATAAATAAAATTTCAGCTTACTCATTGAGTAGGTTTGCTGCATATGAGACTCATTCCTCACGTATTTGCAGAATATCATCTTCAGAGTACTCACTCACCGTGGAAAACTAAAGCAACACCAAAATTAAAACTTAACATTGCTTTTACAAAACTTATCATCACCGCTATTTTATTTTAATTTAAAGAAGGTAAAGTCCAGCTTATTGCTTCTTTACTTGTGTTAGTCACACCAAGTAAAATTGTGTAGAGTCCATTTAAAAAATATGATGAAGAATATATAGCATTGTTATGTGAAAAGCATAGTAGTACATAAGTAGCCAACATATATACCTTTAAGCTCCGTTCTCAAGAAAATAAGAGGATTCAATATGACATCTGGTAGAAGCAAAATGATGATTTGAAGTCATAAGTGTAAATTTGCAGTATCCCCATTTGCTTTCTCTCTAACTTCTTCTTCTCTTAACCCCACAACTGAAAGTACTGGAAACCTTATTTGAAGAAACAAAGATGAATCATTAGAGTATATATGATAGAAAACAGACTTACCACAGTGAGCTAGTTGCATCCAAGCAACGCTAATAAGTCCATCAAGCACTACTTTATCCCGCATTTGTCATATACGGTTGATCAAACTGAAAAAATACTAGAACGTATGATGCAACACTTAAGAAGACTCAAATAAAGAATATTTACAGGATATTTATTCAATCACTATAATAACCCCCTCAAAAAAATCACCTCACTATAATAACTCCAAATATAGACGAAACACATACACCATTGATTATATATTGTTTTCTTCAAAAATAACTTTCATCTCATCTTCTGCTCTAAGAAGGTTATTCAACAAGTATTCCTTGTCTTTTCTCAAAGCCAAGGCTTCAGCCGCCAGAACAACAACATTGCGTGTTGATGGCCTCAATCTACTAACAATTAAGTGATTCTTTTTAAAAAGAGTTACTAAATTAAATGAACTCTTATAACAATCAAGACTGCTATCGGATTCTAGAAAAGCTAGTGTTCTTGTTGATGGATCTTCAACTTTGACACCTACAGTTTCCAATAGGGAATCTACCATACTTTGTTCTTCCCTACAATCATCATCTTCTCTACACGTATCAACCTTCTGTAAGAATAGAAAGTTGAACCATTTGTCAGCAAAGGAACTTAATATACTGCTAAGTATTCCGTGGTAAACAATTGTGATTCCAATGATAGTGTGGCAATCCTTAGTCATTAATACAACAAAAGCAGAAAAAATATAACTATTACCCGTGTTAAAGAAATTACATTTTTGGATTTCTTTGCCAGCCAGTACGAAGAGCACATTTTCTAGGTCAAAGCATATGACTAAAATATTCAACCAGTCACTCATGTTTTCACTTTCTCCTATGAGCAAGGACATACTTCAGAGTTCAGATAGAGGGTCTCTTTCTGAGATTAGTAATGCATTCTTCTTAGTTCTAATTATGAAGTAGACTGTAAGTCACATAGTCTATGTAAGTCACAACATTTTCAGTTGTGAATCAGTTGTGAATTAGTTGTGAATTAGTTGTGAATAGGAAACAACTAGTTTTACCAAATTAGAGAAAAGTATCTCCTTATTCCTTATTTATTTCCTAGTTTTACTTTGCATTGTTAACAAATTGAAATTTTGTGGTTGAGAATTATTTAGAAAGGAAAAAAATACACATTATAGAATTCTTTTCTTGAAAGGGAATAGGAAACAAAACAAACAGATAATCAAGGGCATAAGGTAGCAATATTTTCACCAAATTCCAGCTTCTACAAACTTTGATTTCCTTGACCTTCAGAAACTTCTTGAAATATATCCTTGAACCTTCATGACAGAATATAACACTTAAGTAAAACAAAGAAATTAAATTATCAAGAAATGCTAACAAGTAAACAATGGTAAGAACTCATCAAAATTATAATTTCTTAAGAGAAGTACCTTCCAACATATTTCTTAAGAGTAGTGTTCTTTGTATAGAGATATAGAGGCAATTCCTTTTCATATGTGATATTCATTGAAGCTTCAGCAAAAGCATGAATAGACTGACGTATAGACAAAACAATGTCTTACTAGTTTAAGTACTTATACAACATCACGTATGATCCAATAGAAATCACTTTAAATGAAAACAAGCAATAAAGGAAACAAAGAGGCCTATAAACAATCCTCATTAGTGTATATTATACATGGATTCATCAAGCAAAGAACCAATTAGTCTTTATAAATTATACTGGATTTGGGTTCCATACAATCAGTTTGGTCAACTATACATTATACGGAGTACTATTATAGTTAGTTGTAATTTACTTCTTAGTCCATTAATGTGTACTTTCAATAGCAAAGGGCATTATCCATTTTTCTTGTTTATTCTACAAAAAATCAACTAAAAGCGGCTTTAACATATATAAATATAATGTAAATATGCAATCCTTTGTTCATGAAAACATAAGAAATCACATATGTTGATATACAAATTTAGATTGATGATGATACTAATAAAGATAACGATTACGAAGCCTTATAGATATTCACCTGAATAACTCCTTAAAGCTGCTTTTCTTACGCATAGAGATAGAGAACTGCCTAGTAAATTATTATCTCATCAACTGATACTCATCCAACCTGTGAAAATACAAAGCCAATCTGAAAGTCAAAATCGGTCTTTTCATCATGCTTTCCTTCTGGTACTATAGAAGAAATCACCACATTAAATGAGTATGTCTTCTAACTATTAGAATAGTCGAGAAAAAAAATCACGTCTTCATAATTTTATATCATTACAAATATGTAGAACGGGCAATCAGAGAAGAAATTACCAGTACTATTCAGAGAAAGGGTTTATCAAACACCAATTTGAGTTTTCCTGCTCCTTGAATAACTATATCGCCTGCTCTGTACTTATCACCAAATGCATGTCTTCTGATTTAAATTGTTTCATTCAGACCTCATGAATAAAAAAATATATAATTTTCACACTTGAGGAATTAAAAAGAGGAAAACATTAACTTTACATGGTCTTTAATACAAATACTTGGGACAAGAGTGGGGATGTTCTTGCAAAGAATTGGCCCTCTGAACAAGCCACCTACACGGAAAAGCCCAAAATGCATCATCAACTAAGCAGTAGTAATGATTTCGAATTAATATGCAACAAATATAATGAAATAGGAGTATACAAAATCACCATTCAAGATGTTCCTAATTGTTACATTTGGACTCTTCCACATTTGCTTCAAGTTCACTACATTTAAATTGAAGGACGTAATTAGGAAGAGTGAGCCGTGGAGATAGAGATTGAGTAAATACCGGTTAGCTTCTTCATCCGGTCATTGGAATCCCAAAGAGAAGGAGAGGGAATTGATATCTTAGTCCGTCATCCGGCTAGGGTTGGAGCGAGGTCGCAAGGAAGCGAAGTCAGACCCTATTTTACTGCAAGATTTTACTTCTATATGGAGCACCTTCACTTTGTCTTCACCACTTTACCTGCGTCAGACCTCGCTGAAATAGAAGAGGGGGCGAAGAAGAAGAAGACATTATGTGTACCGGTGAAGACACATGACCCACGAAGGAGAGGATCTACAGAGGTGTTGCCTGTAGCCACCGCCTGTCGCAGATGATCGAGAATCGCACGTCTAATTGATTTAGCTGGCTGCTGAAGGGAAGAGTTCGACGGTAATGAAGCGCAGCAGCGGAAGATGAAGGAGGATAAGCTGCGCTCCTGCAAAGAGTATGTGAAGGGTGGGGGTTAAAATTTATAAAATAAACCTCATTTCAAAAAAAAATATTTTAATTGATTATGAATATGACCCCATTTTTTCACCATGAATGTCACTATTAAATGGTGATATTATTGTGTCAGAAATTAGCGATACTTATGTGTAAACTTTCAGTTTTGTCGTCAGTTTCTGACACTAAATCGAATAGTGTCACTAACAAAGTGTCACTGTAAGGCAGTTTTCTAATAGTGAGGGACTGTTCTAGGCCAAAAGATCGGGAGGGCTGCTCATGTTATCTAGTACTCCTCCTCTACTCTCAATGAAGCGCAAAAGAACTACTCCACCACTGAGAAAGAAATGCTAGTGGTGGTCTTTGCTTTGGAGAAATTTCGTTCCTATATCCTTGGAACGAAAGTGATTGTGTACACTAACCACTCCGCTCTCCGATTTCTTATGACAAAGAAGGAAGCCAAACCAAGACTCATTCGATGGGTCCTTCTATTGAGTGAGTTTGATGTGGAGATTAAAGACAAGAAAGGAGCGGAGAATTTGGTGGCTGATCATTTAAGCCGCATCATTCCTCACAAAGACATTGAAGACCTCCACACAAATCTCATCAAAGGCGAATTCCCAGACGAAACTCTCTTCGCCATCAAAGTCATAGAACCATGGTACGCACACATTGTAAACTTCCTTGTTTCCGGCAAATCTCCTCCACAATTCTCAAAATCTCAAAAAGAAAAATTAAAAATGGACTCAAGACTCTATGTGTGGGATGACCCATATTTGTGGAAGCATTGCAAAGATCAAATAATCCGAAGATGCATCCCCGAATATGAGATAGCCCACATAATAGAGTTTTGCCATTCTTATGCTTGTGGAGGACATTTCGGCCCAAAACGGGCGGCAATGAAGATCCTTGAAAGTGGTTTTTGGTGGCCAAGTCTATTCCGGGATGCACATGGCTTTTGTCAATCTTGTGACAATTGCCAAAGAGCGGGCAACATTTCAAGGAGGAACGAGATGCCACAAAATCTCATGCTTTTCTGTGAGATTTTTGAAGCATGGGGCATTGACTTCATGGGACCTTTCCCAAACTCTCAAGGTAACATCTACATCCTCCTTGTGGTGGATTATGGTTCAAAATGGGTGGAAGCTAAAGCCACCAAAACTGATGATGCAAAGGTGGTTGCAAATTTTCTCAAATCACACATATTTTCAAGGTTTGGGGTCCATCGAATTTTAATAAACGATCGAGGCACACATTTTTGTAATAAAATTGTGGGATCCCTACTAAAGAAATATGGTCTGACTCACAAAATCTCCACAGCTTACCATCCTCAAGCCAATGGTCAAGCGGAAACCTTAAACAGGGAGTTGAAATCTATACTCCAAAAGGCAGTGAACCCGAACAAGAAGGATTGGAGTATATGCATTGATGATGCACTATGGGCATACCTAACCGCTTACAAAACTCCAATCGGTATGTCCCCATATAGACTTGTGTTCGGCAAAGCGTGTCATCTCCCCGTGGAGCTAGAACACAAGTCATATTGGGCGGTGAAAAAACTCAACCTCAATCTTGACGAGGCCGGTATACATAGAAAGCTCCAATTGCAAGAGTTGGAAGAACTCCGCCTGGACTCTTATGATAATGCGGAAATCTACAAAAGAAAAACGAAGGAGTGGCATGACAAAATGATAATAAGGAAGGACTTTAAACTTGATGACAAGGTCCTCCTATTCCAATCACGCCTTCGTTTATTTCCGGGAAAGTTGAGATCCCGTTGGACTAGACCATACAAAGTGGTCAAAACATATCCACACGGGGCGGTGGAAATTCAAGACGTGGAGACGGGCGAGGTACTCAAGGTGAACGGACAAAGATTAAAACCCTTCTTTGAGGGTTTTCAACCCAAGAACGTGAAAGTCATAGACCTTTCTGAACCGGTCTATGAATGAGGAGCAACGGAAGATATCGTCGAGCCACGACGTTAAATAAGGCGCTTCTTGGGAGGCAACCCAAGCTAAGGCACGCAATTCTCATTTTTGTGTTCGAATGTCAACTTTGAGAGAATAGGGGAATAATTCTCCAAAGAAAAGGGAAGATAAAACAGGCTTTCAAAACCCAGAAAAACATCAAATCGGGCATAATCACCCCCCCGTTTGGATCCGAGCTAAAAAAATTGACCAAACAAAATTCCAGGGTCATGTACCCGATCGGGTAACATCCCTACTCGGTCGGGTACAAGGTAAAAAAAGAAATGCTGGGGACCGAGTACCCCATACTCGATCGACCAAAAGGACGAAAAAAGGTCGAATACTCGATCGGGTATACCCATACGCGATCGGGTACTCGACCCCGGAGCCAATTTGAAATTCCGACGAAATACCCGATTGGGTATATTTATATACTCGATCGAGTATATTTCTAAAAAATCCTACGACGGAGAAAATCTGAACCATCAACCATCGAACCAGACTTAGAGCCAATCACCCACAAAAAAGCAATATGGCTCGTTGATCCTGTAATGAGTTTAATTGAGCCAATGAGTCTAACGTGATTAAAGTAAACCCCTCATCGCCCCAACCTAATGCAAGAGTCTAGCAAAAGAAAGTGTACATGACAAACAAAACAACATGTAGTTCGAAGTAAAAACACAAACAAAATAAAACAGAAATGAAAATAGTCATCCAAACCCTAGACGCACAATTCCTCCATGACGGCGGCGGTTCGGGAGGGGGACAGATCAACATCTCTTCGTCTTCTTTTACACGTACACTCCTGTTCGGAGCCTCTTCCTCGCCCGCAACCTCCTCGTCCCGAATCAGGTAGCCTTCACCACCTTTGAGCATCGTGATATCACAAACCCGAGCCGATGTCTTCCTGCGGTCGATCATACCTGCGTCGCAGGTGCCACACCCGATGTACCAGCAATCATCGCTTCCCTGTTGATACCCATGAACCGAAGCAGAGGGCTCAACTTGCGAATGAAAAGAAAACAAAAGCACCGGAAAGCGAAATCCACCGAGGCAGGGTCCTCAAAGCCGGAGAGGAAGACGCCGAAGAAAGACGCAAAGCTGCGCACACCCAACCCTAATTGCTAGGGAGACGACCGCTCCAAAAAACGTAGTAGCAACGGCAGTCACTGATTTGTTTCGCGAAAAAAGATACATACCATGATTTTTTTACTCGTATTATCTAATCATCTACTTTTAATTTATCTATTCATTACGGTAGTAGTTTACGCACTTTAGATGAAATTATGCTTTCTTTGTCCCAAATCGAATGGTAATTTACTAATTTTAAAGTTGGTTGACGATAACATTAAGCAATTGATGCTGATAGCTAAATAAGTTATAATATTACTCCTGTAAGCGAAATTGGGACCACATCTATTATAATAGCAAGGTAAAAATTGTGGTTCAGATTTGAATATAATAAAGTGAAATGATATGGATCACATATTTCTTTCCAAAATGGGAAACATGACCATCATTTTGGGACATCCCAAAAAGGAAATACATGATCATTATTTTGGGACGGAGGGAGTACAATGTATGAATGAAGTCTGTCTACAAAACGAGTTGAAGGAAATTATCATACACACATACTATACATAAAACTGAATTAATCTGCTAAACCCGTTTAGATTGGGCACTGACCCTCGCGGTTCGCGCGAGTCCCTCGCAAGTCATAATAAGAAGTAGGAAAATTCTATGGTGCACTCCTAAATTTTGAGTGCACCGGTACACACCTTTTCTTATCCAATCACATTTTAGTATTGTGCTACTAAATATGATTAATAACTTGTAGTGAGGATTGAGTTATTAGCCTAAATATGATTGAATTGTTTCTTAAATTTCTAAATAGGACTATGTATATTATTATTTTTTAAATAGGTCTTTTATACAATATTTGTCCTTCCTAATATAAATAAGGTTTAAATATTTTTTTAGTCTCTGCAAATATAGTATCCCTGCAAAATTATTTTTTTTCTTTTTCATTTCTAAAATGTATGTTAGTTTTTCTTTTAGTCTATTGCTGATGATAATAATGGAATTTAATACGTATTTTAAAAATGTGAGTAATTAGTTTTTATCTTTTTAACTCTCATATTTTCCTCAAAAATTTAATAGGGATGAATTTTTAGTGATATACTAAAAACAAAATAATGCATAATACAAGGATGAAAAACATAAAAAAAAAGGATGATGGATGGTTAAAAAGGATGTGTATCAAAACACACCAAATTAAGGAGTGCACCGTAGTATAATAAAAAAAGACACAAATAAATTAAACATTCACAAGATACGTATCTCTTCTAAGTTGATGCACGTGTTAGTTGGGAGTGATTTTATGAAATGAACATCTATATTTATGTAGTTCCATGTAACTACCAACTACTGACCATCTTTTCAAATGAACGCCTTTTATGAATTTGCACTTTTTATTTTAAGGAGTTTTCAAATATTTATTTGAAGAGATAGATGTTTTTTAATGGTAAATATTTTTAATTATGTAATATTTACAGTAAATTAAAATGTAGTGGAATTGGCAGGACTTCACCAAAAATTTAACCTAAAAGCAGTGAAACACAATCATTATATCCACTAACTCAAAACCAACATCATTGGTGCTCTAAGAGCACCATTTACCATTTTAAATCCAACCAATGATGTGAAAGCCCAATTTACAGAGTCTGATTTGAAATATTTTATGTGATATGTCAAATTTCTTACCGCACAACTAAACACTACAAATCTGGGCACCACTGTTTTCATTATTTTCTGCACCTCACTAATATTTTTTTCTAAGATAATATCACATGTTTAAAAATTTCTGGGCACAACTATACAATTTGTGCACATTTAAATCTGGGCACAACTATACAATTTCTGCCTGTTTAAAAATCTGACGCCCAGACATGGAATTAACAAAATTCGCTACTTTGTTTCAATGATTAATTGTATATATGGTTCAGGACCAAGTGTTCATTTTGAAAACCCTGTTGTTAAACAAAAATTCTAAAGCTACCCAATTTTCTATCCCATTTTGTATTTCCTCCCTAGTCTGTGGTTCACAAAAGTAATTTAATTTAAGTGGGACAATTATTCTGTGGGGTTAAAGTTTTATGAGTCATTCAAAAAGTGAGGTATAAATAGGGTACCCCATTTTGGGGAACCTGTAGCACTTCTCGGGAATAGCTCAAATTCAGACTGTTGAAAACATATCAAAAAAATATTTTCACATATTTATTTGAAGAGATAGATGTTTTTAATGGAAAATGTTTTTAATACTGTCGTATTTATAGTACGTTAAAACGTAGTGAAATTGGTATGACATTACCAAAAATTTAACCTAAAAACATTGAAACACAATCATTAACGTACTCCACTAACTCAAAACCAATATCATTGGTGCTCTAAGAGCACCATTTACCATTTTAAATCCAACCAATCACGTCAAAGCCCAATTTCCAGAGCCAGATTTGAGAGATTTTATGTGATGTGTCCAATTTCTTACCGCATAACTAAACACTCCAAATCTGGGCACCACTGTTTTCATTATTTCTGTACCTCACTGATTTTTTTTCAAAGATAATATCATGTCTAATAAAGAAATCAATCTGCCTATTTAAAAATCCAACGCCCAGACATGGACTGAACAAAATAATTAATTTTTTTCAATGATTAATTGTATATACAGTTCAGGACCCAAGTGTTAATCTCCAAAAACCAATTGTTATCACAAAAATTCTAAAGCTACCCCATTTTCTACCCCATTTTGTACCCCCTCCCTAGTTTTGTGGTTCACAAAAGCAATGCATTTAAGTGTGGAAATTATTTTTTGGTGTTGGAGTTTTGTGAGCCATTCAAAGAGTGAGGTATAAATGGGGTACATTTATAAAATAAATTTAGTGGTACCTGTAGCATTTCTCAAATGATACAAACTGCCATGGATATTCCAGCCAATCAGGGGGGTGATATATGCTATATTGTGTTATAAATACGGGTTTTCCTTTCACATTTTTACTGACAAAGATTCACTTTTAATCATTTTCATTCCTTGCACATTGTGTTACAAACTTACAAAGGTTGGAATTATTGTTCAATCCTGGTGTTGACTTAAACTCGGAAATGCAGGGGCCAGCCTAACGATCCTGATATCGCAGCTTTGAGGAATCCCTCTGTGCAGGGTTTTTATTTTTTTAAATTTTGTTTTTAAATGGGTCTGTAAATCTATTAAATAGATTTAGGATAGATGTAGGGCAACACATATGCCTCCAAAGAGATAAAAGGTACGCCACTCTATGCACATCATCCATATGAATCTGGTTATATAACATTGCCTTTATATGTGCTGCATTACACTTCCGTCACAAAATCAATTTTCCAAATACTATTTAAAATATTCGTGAAATCCTCAAAAAAATAATGGAACAATATTTTTCAACATATTCAGAAGGTTTAAAAAAATAACGATTAAGCAAAGTGAATATACCTATATTTAACACGTAAGGCGTTGCTTCCATAGGTTTTCCGATCGGTTATATCTCTGCCAAACACCCGAGGACCATAATCAGTTGTCATTACATGCCTACATATTTTATACACACATAAGTAAGTTGATAGAATTCCAACACCTAAGAGTCCATAGGTATATCTTAACATAATATCTTATATAGATGCGTCTCTAGTAGTACAGATGATTGGCAATCTCTTATGCCTGAGTTCTTCAAAATTGTTTTTGGGTCTTTGTCGTGCACTACTTGGCCCATTATGTCTGGATAATAGAACTATATTAGTGGGTCTAACGGGGTTATAATAAGTTTTAAATATCAAGATAGGTCAATATAAATCGCAACGATTCCAAATTTCTCATCAATGGTGTCTTGGGATTGCAATGAAGCAAAAGACACCAGTGAGTAAATTCTTATGGGGAATGGAACCCCCTTGATCTCAAATGCAGCACTTTTGTTAAAAAACGAAGTCTATAGGCACTTGTTGAGGTTTTAAAGAACATGTAGTTCTCTTCCACCATGAAATTTTTCACTGCAAACAAATGTCCGTCCTTGAAGATGCCAATGAACTTATTGATGAACTGGTCCGGAATATGCGCATGCATCTTGGACCCCTGAAATTTACTGAAATGTCAACATAGATCGTGCTAAAATGCAAAAGAATGTGAACATGAGATTGAATAATAGATGTCCAAACCTCTTCGTCATGGAAAACAACCTCCAACGATTCTGGGAAGCAGTCATGTGCTGGTTCTCGATACACTCTTATAGCCCTAGCCTTAATTGCCCATGTGGTTCTGCTCTGATCAATCTCACGAAACAACGACCACATCCCAACCATCTTTAAGAATGAATGCTTGTATTTCTGTAGTTAATTGCTAGCTATGAGCTGTGAAGGTTAGAACACTAATGTTGGTCTATTTATAGCTGGACACCCAAGTGGCCAACACCACATATTCAACCAATAATTTTCGGAAATGGAATGGGGGGAAAACTGTTTAACAAATTTTGAATTTCAAACTGGTTTCTCTCGAAGAGTTCCCCCCTTGCCCAGTAAGATACTGTTTATACCTTTAAAGCAGCCAATGAAAATGAAGGCACGTGAGTGGGAAATCCTGGGAAAATCCAAAATAGCTATCTGCCAGCCCACCACCCCAAACCGGCCAATGAAAAACAAATTTTCAAACACAGGAAAATCTATAACAAATCAAAACAGTAGCTAAACTCCGTAGAACCACATATCTAACGTCTTGCATTGGCCGGAGAGCACTAATTAAGGAAATACAAAACGTTAACACCTAATAGAGCTCTAATTTAATTGGAATTTGCACTTAACTGCTGAAAGTGACATTTTTGAGCGGGAAGAGTTGGCCCACTTTTATTTTGCTTTTAGATATTAATAGATGAGATGGCCTAATTAAGTTGAATATTTGGTGATGGACCTGTGAAGTTGTGAACCTAGGGACTTAGGGAGAATCAACTAAATGTTTTAATATGAGTGATAATACAATCTTTAGTAACCATTAAGAGATTGACACATCATTGGTTTTTTTAAATCAAATAACTAATTTATAATTAAATGATAGCAAAAAAAGATAGAAGAGAATGAATAGTCAAATGCTACAATGAGATAGAACATATAACAGAAAAGATCCAATGAATCCTTCCAGATCGCTAACATTGTAATAATGTAGTCTAGTATAATGCTCTTGCTGCTCTTCTTGCTACTTCAAAGAGAAATTGAAAAAATACAACTAAAAGATCCAACTTCACCGGTCACCGAAAAGGGAGAATTGGGTTGACCGACAACCAACAAAGGAAACTCAATTGAGCAGAAATTGTTCGGATCATCAGTTGACCTGCAGCCATCGAAAAGGAGATCCAATTGAGCACTATCTTTTTCTTCGAGTGAGGCGGTGGTCCAACAGGAGGACCAATAACTGAGGCCTCAGAAAAAGTAGTTCCAACAAGCCTTGTCACCCATGCACAACAAAAATTCTCCACCCGATTGGTTACACCAACGAGGAATACACAATCTCTAGACCTTACTAGGACAACAACATATTTCACGCTCGCTTGAAGCGGACAAAAATCTCAACTAAAGAAGAAGTCAAACAGAAACCATAATTCACCAAGGTAGAAATCAAATACTACCTCCATTCCTATTATCTTCCAAATTGGTTTGTCACACAGTTTAAGATAGTGGGTATTGTGTGGTGGAGAGTTGTGCAGAGGAGACATAAATGTTGTGAACCATAAATTCTTTACCAAAAAGGGAAAGTGGAAGTTTTAATTGGAACGGACGGAAAAGGAAAATTGGAAGTTATAATAGGAACGAAGGGAGTAACATTGGAAGTTTTAAGTGGAAGTTACTTTATTCTCCAAAGAAAGATGTTAAAGATGTTAATGATGATTGCCAATCATCGCTCTACAGCCGCCGATTGGAGAGAAGCTTGGTCGCCTCCTAGGGTTTAGAGACAGCCGACTCTCAAACTTGTGTTGCTCTCTTCTCTCTCAAAGTTGACATATCATTGATTTATAACACAACTTTACTATATAAAAAATAGATTTGTGTTTCTAATACAATCCTATATTGTATATTCAGTGTTTATGTAAAAAGCTATATACACATTATTCATTAATTAAATTATTTTATAACACAAATTTAATTTTATTCATTATGTGTACAACGTATGAGTCGGTTAACTACTATTTATAAAAGGCACAAAAAAACTCTATTAAATTAATGCTTAGGACTCAAATCCAAATATTACAGATATTGATAATTAAAATGAGAGAATATGATACAAAAACAATAATCGTGACTAATTATTAGTAAAAATGCATTTCAATTAATTTGGAGGCAGGGAGTGTATATCTCACTTTATTTTCTCCACAATTTGTGGGCACCGTAAATGCCCATCAAATGCTAATCACGTTAGTTAGCGAAGAAAAGAAGAATATGGCGAAACAAAAAAGAAAAGAGCTTGGAGTCTCTTGCATGCTAAACACAGAGGTTGGAGCAGTGCTCGCCGTGATCCACCGCTCCCCGGAGACGAACGCCCATTTCTTCCCACCGGAGGAACGTTATGACACCCATATCTCCCAGTCCCTCAAATCCCTTCGCGCCCTCATCTTCAATCCCCAACAAGAATGGTGCAACCTGGATCCCTCCTTGTACCTATTGCCGTTTCTCGACGTCATCCAAAGCGGCGACGTCCCTGCCGCCGCCACCGGGGTAGCGCTCTCCTCCGTCTTCAAGATTCTCAAACTTGAAATCTTTGACCATAGAACCCCTGGTGCCAGAGAAGCTATAAATTCGGCAGTCGCCGCTGTCACGAGCTGCCGGCTGGAGAAGACCGATCCGGCTTCAGTAGATGCAATCATGATGAAGATATTGCAGGTCTAAGAGATCTTTGTAAGAATAAAAGATTAACATATTCATTTTCTGGTTGTTTTTATTACGGAGTATTACCGAGAGAAGCCATTATGGCATTATGAGTGAATTTGTGATCATATAAACATATTATTCATGTAATACTCCCAGGTTCATTATGCCAGAGTAGTGATTTATTTAACTTTGATTGCACTTTGGTTGATCTCTCTCAGGTGCTAGGAGCAATAATGGCTCACCCGGCATCCATATGGCTAACGGACCAAGCTGTATGCACTGTTGTGAACTCGTGCTTTCAGGTGGTGCAACAATCGGCAGGTCGAGGCGGGGATTTGCTCCAACGCAGCGCCAGATTCACAATGCACGAGCTCATCTACACAGTCTACTCCCGTCTCCCGGAAGTGGAGCCCTCGGAGTGGGAAAACTCCGAGTCCGACTCGGAGGACACTGTCATGGACGATTTGGGTGGGTACGGGATCAGAGCGGCTGTCGACATCTTCCATTTCCTCTGCTCCCTACTGAATGTGATGGAAGGGATGGAGCCAGACGGGATGCCTTACCAAACACCAGACGAGAGCATTCAGCTCTTCTCGCTCCTTTTGATCAACTCGGCGATCGAGTTGAGCGGCGATAGCATCGGGATGCACCCGAAGATGATGCGGATGATCCAAGATGACCTATTTCACCATTTGGTTCATTACGGCTCCTGCTCCAAGCCACTCGTTTTATCCATGATTTGCAGCATCGTTTTGAATCTCTATCACTTCCTTCCTAGGTGAGTGGGTTGCCGCATTTTAGGATGCTTATTGTCTTCAATGAAATAACTTGGGAAATTGTTTTCCATAGTAAATATGTTAGGTGAATATGTTAAGTGTACTTATTCAGAAAAGTTAACCTCTGAAAACCTCCAATTCGAATGTTCTCAAAAACTGGGGTATGGGAGGTTTATCAAATAGTTTCTGCTACCAGTGTTTCTTGTTAATTGCATAGTTTTTAAATAGATATGATGTTTAATCATTATATCATTAAGTACTTATATTTGTATCTTACTTCCTCTGCCACCACTTTAATTTCATTATTTTCTTTTCCATCCTTCCTTAAACTACGTATTCTTTCCTTTTCATATTTTTTAATATAACACAAAATAAGAGAGTTTTTACTAGTATTAAACATTAGAAATTGAGTATGCATAGGGCAAAAATGTTAATTTTAAATTTGAAGACATAAACATCATCGATTCAATTACTAACTGTCAATTGCTCAGTTTCATGTTCATATTAAAATGGATGATATCCTATTGATAGTTAATTATTACTAGTAATATTTGAAGACTTTATATTTTGAATTTAAGAAGAGTTGATCCACGAATGAATTTGTTTTTTCTTTATCATGGCCAAACACAGCTTTATTAATTAAAGAATCCACTTCTCAGGTCGATGCGCCTTCAACTGGAAGCATTCTTCTCATTTGTGCTGTTTAAAGCCGCGAGCATTGCCAACTCTGTAGCTCTCCAAGAAGTGGCTGTAGAAGGGCTGGTAAATTTCTGCAGGCAGCCCACATTTGTAGTGGAAGCTTATGTGAATTACGATTGCGACCCGACTTTCAGAAATGTGTTCGAGGACACTGGAAAGCTCCTCTGCAAGCATGCATACCCTTCAGGTCCTGCTCTCACTAGTTTGCAACTCCAAGCCTTTGAGGGCCTGATAACCGTCATCCACAACATTGCAGAGAACATTGACAAAGAAGACGATCCCACTGCTTCCGGGCCATATCCGGTTGAGATCGTGGAGTGCATACCTTTTTGGGAGGAAGAAAAGGATCTAGGCTTGGTAGATTCCTGGATTAACTCTGTTCGGGTTAGGAAGGCTCAGAAAAGGAAGATATTGATCGCTGGCGATCATTTCAATCGCGATGACAAGAAGGGTTTGGATTACCTGAAATATTCGGGGCTGGTGTCAGATCCACCCGACCCAAAAGCCTATGCTGCGTTTTTCCGGTACACCCCGAAACTGGACAAGGTTTTAATTGGAGAGTTTCTAGGAGATCCTGATGACTTCCACCTTAAAGTCCTCAAGGAGTTCACCGACACATTCGAGTTCACCGGAATGGTTTTGGACAATGCTTTGAGAACCTTCTTGGAATCATTCAGGTTGCCGGGAGAATCACAGAAGATTCAGAGGGTGCTAGAAGCATTTGCCGAGAGGTTTTATGATCAACAATCGTCAGAATTCTTTTACGGGAAAGATGCTGTTCTGGTCCTCTGTTATTCTGTCATTATGCTCAACACTGATCAACATAATCCTCAGGTGAAAAAGAAGATGACAGAGGATGAATTCATAAAGAACAACAGAGCGATCAATGCCGGTCAAGATCTTCCCAGAGAATACCTCTCCGAGCTTTTCCATTCCATTTCAACAAAGGCCATCGTCTTCGAATCTTCTTATTCCATGCCCGAAATGAATCCGAACCAATGGGTTCAGCTGATAAACAGATCAAAGAGCATGAATCCATACATAATGTGCGATTTCGACCGCCGTCTAGGAAGAGATCTCTTTGCTTCCATCGCGGGCCCCACAGTGGCCACATTAGCAGCAATTTTCGAGCAGGCTGACGTAGAAGAAGTCCTCCATGAATGCATTGAAGCACTATTCTCCATAGCTAGAATATGTCAGTATGGGTTAGAGGACACACTGGACGAGCTCGTCTGCACTTTCTGCAAATTCACCACACTCTTAAACCCTTATGCATCGTCAGAAGAAACACTGTACACTTTCAGCAATGATATGAAGCCGAGGATGGCCACCCTGGCGGTTTTCACAGTAGCAAACAGTTTCAAGAACTTCATCAGAGGAGGTTGGAGGACCATAGTGGATTGCCTATTGAAACTCAAGAGGCTAAAACTTCTCCCTCAATCTGTTTTTGTTGAACCAGAAACTCCCTCCTCTGACAGGTCAAGACATGAGAGGTCCGGTTCAAGAGCGTCCAGTGGTCTAATGGGACGCTTCTCACAGTTTTTATCAATGGAAAATGTGGAAGAGTCTCTGAACCTCGGAGTGAGTGAGTTTGAAAACAACATAAAGATTATCAATCAGTGCCGAATAGGAAACATTTTCAACACAAGTTCATCTCTGCCCGAAGAGACCGTTCAAAGTCTAGGGCGTTCGCTCATTTTTTCTGCAGCAGGAAAAGGCCAGAAATTTAGTACTGCAATTGAGGAGGAAGAAACTGTTGGGTTTTGTTGGGATTTGATCACCGCCATATCTTCTTCAAACATCCATAGAATTGCCACATTTTGGCCTCATTACCATGAATATTTACTAGATGTTGCACAATTCCCCCTGTTCTCACCAATCCCCTTTGCAGAAAAGGCAATGTTAGCTTTAATGAAGATCTGCCTCAAACTTCTGTCCTCACCCCAAGAAGACAAAGCCCCTGAGGAACTAATCTTCAAGTCCATAAATCTCATGTTAAAATTAGATAAGGAAATCCTAGACACATGCTCAGAGTTCATAGTACAATCAGTAACCACAATCTTAAATGAATACGCAGCAAATTTACAAACACTAATGGGGTGGAAATCTGTCCTACATTTGTTGTCTGTCTCAGGCAGACATCCGGAAATGTATGAGCAGAAAGTCGAGGCAATCATCAATCTGATGTCGGATGGGTCCCACAACATCTCAAGGTCAAACTACCCTTTCTGCATAGAAGCAGCATTTGGATTTGTTGCGCTAAAGAACAGTTCCTTGGAAAAGAACCTCAAAATCATGGATTTGATGACAAATACAGTCACTTTGCTGGTAAATTGGAGCAGAAGTGGAGGAAATGGTGATCCAGATAATGATGAAAACAAAGCTATGTCTTCCTCTCCCAACTTCACAACCACTTGTTTCATCAAGCTAGGGGAAGCATTCAGAAAGACAAGCTTATCAAGAAGAGAAGAGATCAGAAACCACTCCATCATATCTCTGCAGAAGAGTTTTGCATTAGCAGAAGAGCTATGCTTTACTCCGCCCATCATCGTCAGTTGTATTAAGCTTGTTCTGTTCTCTATGGTTGATGACTTGCATGAAAAGATGTTGGAGTATTCGAAGAGGGAGAATGCAGAGAGGGAAACCCGGGGAATGGAAGGGACTCTGAAGCTATCAATGGAGGTATTGACAGATGTGTACCTGATGTACTTGAAGCAAATATCGGAGTGTGCTGATATGAGGGGGTTTTGGATGGGCATCTTGAGGAGAATGGATACATGCATGAAGGCTGATTTGGGAATGTATGGGGAATCAAAATTGGTGGAAACTATCCCAGAACTACTAAAGAAAATGGTTCTCGCGATGAAGGAAAGTGAGATTCTTGTTCAGAAAGAAGATGATGATCTATGGGAGATGACATATATCCAAATCCAATGGATTGCCCCTTCACTAAAGGAAGAACTTTTCCCAGACGATTGACCAAAATTTTTGTAGTTTATTTAGAGAGTTTTTTTATTCAAAATCATATCCAGTTTGTTTCAACTTCGGGTTTCATCACCTAATCCTCCAATTATTAGATGTTTTTCCCACTGTTAGTTAGTAATAATCACTTAATTTAAATTTTTACTTCATTCTCTATAGCTGAAACCTCTCACATGAGAACATCCTGTGATGGATAATGACATTCAAAGTTCTAGTTTATTTGTATTAGGTACCCCCTACCCGATGGTTAAAATCGTTGCATACTTTGGGGTATGCCTCTTTAAAGGGGTTGGCTATACGCCTTGGTTTATGCCCCCCTACATCTTGTACCTGCCTTTGAACATTAACAAACTAGCTGTTTTCCAACAAAAAAAACTCTAACTGAATAAGAGTAAAACAGTTTCCTTCAACTGATCTTGAAAGGAAAATGAAAGATTATAACTTTCATACTTTGATGATTATTATTTTATGAACCAAAGAAGGTGCTTATCAAGCTATAATTTGGAGGAATGTTAACATGACAAAAGTACAAAAGTACAAATGGTTGCAAAACAAACAGGACCTTCTGTATTTCTTTCTAAACAAATGGCTCTAAATAGAACTAAAACTTAGACAAAGTGCATAAAAAGGCTAATTATGTTTTATTCCCAAAATGAGACTTGTTTGATCTTATTAAAAATTACTAGTATAAAACTTCCCCAATTAGGAGTGAGTGACTCCTATTTTAAGAAGAAAATAATGGTGATCCCTTTTGTGCACTTTGTGTATGTTCTAGTCCTATTTAAGGAATATTCTATTCTTTCTATCTTGAAAAAAAGGTATGGACTTTGGAGTGTATCTTCTCATCTCAAATAGAATGGACAATTAATAAACTAGACTGTATTAATAATAGAACTTATCTCTGCAAGCCAGATTGACAAATCGTCTCTTCAACCTCTCCCAATTCTTCTTATCCTTGTATCCCTACCTCTATCTTTCCTTTTCGGTTGAAGACTGTGAATTTGGCAAAAAGTTCAGCAGACCAAGGGGCAGTAATGCCGCCATAAACTGGATTATTATCCCAACAGGAAGGTTTGAGTAATTGCCAGACGTTATCCCAAGAAAAGACGCCAATCCAACACCCAAATACCCACCAACTATTGAGGAGAAATAGAAAGCTGATGCTAAGAAAGACAATAGCGACCCTTCACAACCCAATGGTGCTAATCTTGCAAAAAGAATAGAAAATGGCAAAAGCTTGAATGTGGCTATAACCTCTGCAATTCCCGAAAAGCAGAGCACAAAAGCTTCATTGGAAATACCCAATTTGAGATTAATCTGTTTCACGAGCATGAAATCGAGAAGAAGTGAAATAGCATATAGGATTTGAATAATACTGCTTAATTTTTTTATTGGAGTATCTTTCCAAACCCTATCATAGAGAACAGTAATAGAAAGAAGCACCAACTGGCCAGTAACTTTTGACATCCCAATGGTTGACGGATTAAGATTAAGACACTGAGTTTGGTAGCAGAAGAGAGAGCCTGATAAAACCGGGACAATTAAAGTTGATGCCACAAACCACATCAGGGGGTCATATATCCTTTCTTCTCTAATGCAAACCATGAGGTCAAGATATTGTTTTTTTATACTTTGGGTGATTGATTTTTCTCTTATTGTCAAACCAGGCACATACTTTAATGGTTGAGGCAAACCAAGAGTTTTTTCCCTTACCGCCAAAGACAAAACCAATTGGACGGCGAGTAAAGCAGAAAAGAAAAGAAACATGAGTTTAGGTTGCTTTGTTTTCAGTAAGATATATCCTCCTAGTGAGTTGGCAAGAATCCCACCGGCAGCAGATGCCATAAATGCATAAGACTGAAGACCAGGCATTCCATTTTGCTGACCATATTCTGCAACTAGGGCATCTTTGGCAACTTCTGTAATTGAAGCTCCAAGGTTGCTTAGGAGAACACACGCTATAAGACCAACAAATCCTTCACTTGCAGCTGACACCAGTGCCAGTTGACCCCAAGCCAATGCCTGGAGGAAAGCTGTGGTAATAAATTGACAAAATCTGAGATGTATTTCATCCGATGATCGATCAAATATCTACCATCTACCATATAAATAATAGCAGATGAATAAGTGATTAATTAAATAATAACAACAAGACATCAAATTTTCAGCACTTTTACAAAATTTTGGTATTGTGTGTTTATATACTAGTCTACTACAACAAGTTTGAAATTCTGCAGTCTCATCTAATTTCCATATCATCACCGAATTGGTGACCCTTGCGGCCTGTTTGGAGCCCGGAAAATTGTAGTCCGTGAGGAAAAGAAAATACAGAATGAATTTTAATGGAAGAAAATTTGGAGGAAAGGGAAAGACCAAAAGATAAATTGAAACCAATAACATATTTTGGATATTTGTCCAAATTCATTTTAATTAATCATTTATGTCATATAAACCAGAATAGATCATCTATTGCTTTAAAAAATAAATACGAAGTATAAAAAATGACAATGTTTCAATTTTCTTTTCATTTTTCAGAAAATAAACCCAAACATAAGAAAATAACTTTCCTTGGCGTTTGTTTTCCTTTCTCTAGCATTTTTTGGATCCAAACATACCCTACATACCTTTTAGCCTTGAAGTGTCAATTCTGATATCAAACAACCAATACAAAATATAGAGTGTATAGGACAAAAGAAAACCAATGGCGTTAAGCAAACATAAATGGTCAGCTTCTAGCTAAAAAGCAAGTGTTGATGTTAAAAGAAGTGAGTAAACATACCTCCAATTGAAATGTAAGGCAACCTGTGAGCACCACCAATATAAAGAGCATCAGACAAGATCCCATAGAGAGGCTTTGCAACAAAAGGGAGGTTACCAGAATTCTGCACAAACTGCAATGTTGAAGGGTTCATCTTCATTCCATGAGCCATGTGGAAGTTCAAAGCCAACCATGGGAATAACCTGAACCCTTGAATCCAATACCCGAACCCACACAAAACCATCATCTCTACCCTACCACCATTTCTCTCTTCTTTTGTGCTTGCAGTTTTGGACTTGCAGCACTTGAGAGTTGGGTTCCTGAAGAGTTTGTGTTTCTGAGAGCAAGAAATGGAACTGAGATGAAACAAAGAAGGAATCTTTTCTTTATTTAGGACTTTTGAGTTTCTTGAGAATAGAGGGTGTCCATTAGAAACCAGTACAGAAATCATAGCTACTGAATTTTTCCCCTTTATTCGGTGTCTTCCTCAGTTCAGAGTCAAAACCTCAACCATTTATACGCAGATATTAGAATGGTGACGTAATACTAACAGAAATCTGACGCGCCGCTTATAAATAGAATGAAGATGATCGAATGATTCACTGTTCCGGGAATCCATGCTGATGAGTGGAAAGAAACGTCTGATTTTCGGGTTATCTACTGTGTATTGTAATTCCCAAGGGAGATCTGAACTTCTGAAGGGCCGACATTGCAGATTGCTAATTCTCACTAAATAAATGCTGATGGTCAAAATACTCATCCAGACAGTCACGGACAAAGAAGTTATTCAACTTGAGTCCATAAAAAAAAATCTTTTTTTCCAACTTGAGTCCATGAGTCGTTTTTCGTGGGGCATGTGTTCCCATTCATTTTACAAAATTCTAGATTTTCTGTATATAGATAACTATTTTCAAAATATTGAAGTTGTGTAGATACATACTCCCTCCGTCCCGTTCTAATGTTCCCGTTTTCCCTTTTTGGATGTTGATGGAGTATATGAACCTCGATCCCCCGGCCTGCCGACTATTGAGTCTGGACAGTGGCCCACACACATTTAGCGGATTCATATTGTTGTACATTATTATTCAGATGTTCTAGATTAGCTTTTCATATTATCAGTCCATTTATATAACCGGGTCTGCCGGGCCGATATTAGAAGCCCATACCCGGATTTCCCTATATATACTCCCTTATGTAAGGCTTGTAACAGGACTCATACAACTCATATCATTTCTACTATTCATCCTTCTTCTCCATTTACTAAGTTCAATCTCTCCTTTTCATACAATATGGGTATTAATTATCCAACAATGGTGCTCTCGTTGAGAGGGTTGAACACAATCAAGTGAGAAAACCTTCCAAAAACAACCAAAAATATACAAGAAATCAGTCAAAAAATCAATCTGGAATATCCAGATCTCGGGCAGAAGATGTCGCCGCCGAGGAGATTGCTGGACGCTGGTACTAGTCGACGCTGCGCCACATCTGAGTTGGAGCCGCCATCGATGTTCACCCTCCACGCTACCGCTGCACCCGCTGAAGTCCAGCATCGATGTTGCCCCAGGCCTAGCGAAAGATACGAACATGCAGTTTTTCCGTCCAGATCGAGACCAACCCGGCGACCAGCAGCGCAGTTGAGATCGGCGCTATGACAATTGACTCCTGGGCTCCGCCGCGGGAGGTGTCTCCTCTTCTTTGTTGCGTCGTTACCACCGCTTTTGGCTCTAGGAGCTGTGCATAGGATCTCCGATGTTGTTACCTCACTCGCCGGAAAGTAACGACCGACCTAGGTTTCTCGTCTGGCAGCTTCGGCGTAAGGCTCCTCCTTTGTTTTCCAAGGGCTTGTCCAACGGAACCAGCAGCCGAAGGCCTTTCCTCCATCGTCGGCAACTGGTATCTGCTGGAGTGGGTCCACCAGGTGCGGTCGGATTGGAAGCTCATGGGCATCTTCACGGAAAACCCTCAGATGTGGTGTTCTTCACTAGCCGAAGCTGCTGCCCCTTCCATCTGGAATAATACTTTTGGGAGCTAGCGTTACTTGAGTCTTGGTAGCAGGCAAGATCCACTTGCTGAATAGGAAAACTGGCAGGAGATGTTGGCAGCTTATCATGAGCCTCATATTATTTATTTTTATTTAAATCATTTTTTTCGGTTAAATGTCACACTATCACGCAATTATGATCAAATGCCTAGTAGAGTGTGGCTTGAGACCCATCACTAGGATTCAAAGCTCTGACTCCTCAAGCACAAAGCCCTGACTCATCAGGCACGAAGACCAGTCTTAGTCATTCCAAGAGTGGCGACCGTTGCGTACGAATGGCTCACACCTCCACTCTACTACGTATTTTATCATTACATCAACAATTCACATTTCCACTTTTTTCAAGTGACGAACTCCCGATCGGAAACATAAACCCCAAGAAAAAAAATTATATGCATGTTAAATGTGTAGGTACGAAGATGACTTTACTCATTTTTCACCTTGTCTCCACTCACCTCAAGGAGTGGGGGACTGGGGGACTGAGAGGTCAGATTTTCTGGATGAGCAGCAAATATCACGCATGAGCAGGAACGAGAGCTAAGTCAGATAAAGACAGGTTGAACTAGACAAAAGTGATAATGCCGGAAGGGGCCTACCTTCCTTATTTCATGTTGGGGGCGTTAGGTGTACTCTTTTTCCCTTTATTAGGATTTTTCCTACTGGTTTTTTTCCCTAGTAAAGGTTTTTAACGAGCACCTCCCCATCATGGACAAGGGTGGTGGTCCCCCGGCCGAAGAGGAAGAAACCAAAGGCAGAAGAACGTTGCAGATACAATTGTGAACTACTCCCTTTCACCTCGAGTACTCTCGGCTCAGGGAGTGGGGGACTCTTGATGGAGTATATGGACCCCGACCCCCCGGCCTGCTGGCTATTGGGCCTGGACAGTGGCCCACACACGTTTAGCGGATTCATATTGTTGTACATTATTATTCAGATGTTCTAGATTAGTTTTTCATACTATCAGTCCATTTATGTAACTGGGTCTGTCGGGCCGATATTAGAAGCCCAGACCCGGATTTCCCTATATATACTCCCCTTATGTAAGGCTTGTAACAAGACTCATACAACTCATATCATTTCTACTATTCATCCTTCTTCTCCATTTACTAAGTTCAATCTCTCCTTTTCATACAATATGGGTATTAATTATCCAACAGATGTTCCGTTGGAAAGTTCTCATTTCCCTAAATGGAAAGTTATCCTACATCAAAACAGGGTCAAACAGTGTCAAACAGTGTCGAAACAGTGTCAAACAGTGTCGAAACAGTGTCAAAATAGTAAAATTTACCCCTGATAAGTTTATTTCCTTAATATGTGTGTAGGTCAAACCGGGAACATTCCAACGTGACGGAGGGAGTATAATTTTGTTTATGCAGACGGACAAAGTGTGTAAATGATGTGTTGGTCCAAAATAGAACGCTTGTAGGCTTTTAGGAAAGCTACGTACGACACTCAAGCAGGAATTAGGAAAGCAAGAACGAGAATGGAAAGTAGCTAAGAGATTTAGTTGCCAGAAATAACATGTAGAAATTGTCTCCTCTAATATGAATTACAACCCGCCTTTTATAGGCGTATACAAATTGTAAGCGCTGCCGATAATAATGACTAATTAATTACAACATTAATATAGAATTAAATACATAATTAATAGCGCATTAATTGCTTGACCGTTACTCTTCCGGGTTGGGATGTCGGCCGGACTGGCAGGCTCCCCGCCGAGCTGGCAGGCTCCAGGTTGTGGACTTGGATCCACGAGTCCAAGTTCGGGGCTTGGGCTGATTAGGCTCTGGGCCTAGTCCCATTACTCCATCACGAGTCCCCCACTCCCTTAGTCGAGTAGTAGACTCGGCTAAGAGGGAGTAGTCCAAGTGAGTTGTCCTTGTCCATGTTGGGGAGATGCCTCACTAAAAACCTTCATTAGGAGAAACCCAATGAGAAAAAATCTTAATGAAAGGAAAAAGAGTACATCTGACGCCCCCCAAGATGAAGCAAGAGGTGATATCCTAAGCATTTATTGCAATGGTCGCCATCTGTGAATAGGATGGCTAGAACTGTTCTTCTCGTCGGGCTCAGACTTGTCAGGTTCGTCATTCGCTTCCTTCAAGACGGTAAGACCCTCAGTCCCCCACTTCATTCAGTTGTAGCTACACATAAAAGAAACTAGTGTAGAATAGAGCATCTGACCTGGTGTCGAACCTCGGCTCAATGTGTAAGTGAGTCAGACTCACTACTTGAAAAGAGTGGCATCAAGTTCTCAAGTTAGGTCTCAACCCAGTTTCCGAAATAAAGATTGAATCCGCGAGTAAGTGAGTCGGACTCCTCACTCGAACGGATAATCCAACCCCAAAGAACTAAAGTATATCAACCTTTTCGAGAAATGTGAATGTCAATTAAGTGTCAAAATTGCTCGGAAGAGCGTGGCTCTAGGCCCCTAACAAGAGTTTAACTCACCGCCCAAGGTTAGTAGTTCGAACCTGCAAGTAAAAACTTTTGAACGGGTGACTCGTCCCCCGAGGTCGGAGTGTGATGCACTAGGAAAAGATAAGAGCACGCAAGAACTCGTATGAAGTCAAGAGTGTTCGGTATTAACATTTATATCGGAGCTTATTAATCGTCACACCCGTATGACGTGACCCGGTGGCGCGAGTGTGTGTGCTCGGCCAGTGTACGAGTGTGTGTGCTCGTCCGGCGTACTTGAGTGATCAGATTTCATAAGTTCGTTGTTCAATGTTAAAATTACACACACTTAACAAGAGTAACAGCAATCATATCACTTAAAATATCTTTTCAAATGTTTCAATTTATGATTTTTTTATCATATATTTCCACATGTACTAATTTTATGGAGGGATTTCAATAGTACTTGGCTTTTTTATGGAAGAGACTCGGTTGATTGTTGAAATTGGCAAGCTTAGACTATTTCCAATTTTGACTTGGTCAAAATTCTCCAATAATTTCATCTAGGCCCCATCCCATTACTCAACCTCCTCCATACCATGCTGTTGTACGGGTTACTGTTGTTGGACGAGCGAGACGCTAAAGAAGCTGAATGCTCGTTGTTGTGACCCCATCCGAGAGAGCTTCCGTTTCCGACTGCTCGCAAATTCCAGCCGCAGCGGTGGGTGGCAACGACATCCTGATTTTGTTCAAAGATCGTATTTTTTCTTAATTCCCACTAGAGTGACGTGAGAGAAAAATACAGCCTCTCAATGAAAGCACCAATGTTGGTCCAAAATAGGACGCTCGTAGGCTTTTAGGAAAGTTACGTACGACACTCAAGCAGGAATTAGGAAAGCAAGAACGAGAATGGAAAGTAGCTAGGAGATTTAGTTGCCAGAAATAGCATGTAGAAATTGCCTCCTCTAATCTGAATTACAACCCGCCTTTTATAGGCGTATACAAATCGTAACCGCTACCGATAATAATGACTAATTAATTACAACATTAATACAGAATTAAATACATAATTAATAGCGCATTAATTGCTTGACCGTTACTCTTCCAGGTTGGGATGTCGACCGGACTGGCAGGCTCCCGACCGAGCTGGCAGGCTCCAGGTTGTGGACTTGGATCCAAGAGTTCAAGTTCAGGGCTTGAGCTGATTAGCTCTGAGCCTAGTCCCATTACTCCATCATCATGTACACCAAAAATGTATACCAAACATTTTTGTTTATTTTCATATATTCTCTGATTTTTTGA